GTAAAATTATTTGACTACTTTTGGAATTCTCTAGAGATGGTTTCCAACCACTTCTTTGTCGAAAAAGATAAATATAAAATATAAAAATTGATAAGTTTTTAAAATATAAAAAGTTTAACAAATAAAAATCATGCAACGGTGGAAATTTAATAAATATTTGTCTAGAAGATAACGATAGGTTTGCACAGCGCGGAGTGAGCCGGAAAAAGAATGGAAAGTATGAAAGTATGAAAAATGTTCCTGCCACTTGACATCGTTTGCGTTTCAGTCTATAATTAATCCCGACTCGCGAAAAGAGTCCGGTGCAGACGTCGAGGACGGCGAGCACACAGCAGCAGTTTGTGCAAACCGGTCTCCGCCGAGTTAAAGATTTTAATTTTGTGAACAATTCCGCCGGATGAGACATCGCCGGCGTAATTAAGCGGCGGGGCCCGCTACATAGGAAAAAAAACCTCCGAGTTAACTCGCAGTCGAACCAACTCGAGTCTCCATCCTCGCAATCTACGCGCGCGAGCGTGCATGCAGCGGCCGTTGTTATACGGTGGCGGAACGCGCGCGCGGACGAGCATTTACGAGCGACGTTACCACCGGCGTCCCGTCGGAGCGGACTGCGTACGTCACTTTACCGTAATTACGAGCGAGCTTAATGCTCACTGCGAATGATACCTATTTGCAAGCGCCCGACGGTGCATTACATCGGATACCTTTGGACGTGCCCGCGCGCCCGCGCGCGCGTCCGTGTATACACATATATTGACTCACCGTATTAATGCGGCTAAAGTCCGAAACACCCGCCCTGTCTGCGTCGATATTTCAAAATCGGCTGTACCTACGTGGCCGCTTGGGATTGGAGAACGTAGAAATGCGATTAAACTTGATTTTCCGGCATTTAATTAACAGTTACCGGTGGGAAACTCGTTTCATGACGATACGCCGGCCGCGCTACGAAAACACTCTTGCCATATTTATAAATACAGAGTGTTTAAAATCGTTGTGAATACATAATCCATCAGTTTCCTGTTCGCGTTAATGTCAGTTGCAAAAATATTCATTATCGCGTAAATGATAGAAACCGATATGATTAACTTAATAAGAAAATTTAGAGAGTGCACTTCAAAATATTCCAACAATTTTTATTTATATCTAAAAATCTAACAATTATTAAAGAATTAATACACGGAAAGAATGAATTTGTTGAAAGACCTAAAAATTTTGCTAAAATCAGATCTGAAAATAATTTTTTATTGAATCACCAAAATAATTTGTTGGAATGTTAAAACTGATAAGCATTATAAAACGTTTTGATATTCTAGCAATCATTTTGACTTTCGCACAAAATAATTTTGATTATTGGACAAAAATTATTTTCAGATCTGGATTCTGCAAAATTGTTCTTTCCGTGTAATTTAATACATAAAAAAAGCTACTATCCTGCGTAAATAAGAGAGACATATTTGAATGCATCATCGAAATATTTCTTCATTTTCTTGGCAAGATCACGTTGCACATTTTTTTCACGGTGCACTGTCGTCCAAATAAATTTATAGAAGATATATTTTCTATAACGCCCTGGAATAATTTTCCTGCCTGAGAAAGCGAACTTGGTTTATAGTTGCAGACTAATGTAGTTCATATACGTGCAGGGGATGAATAATGTTCACTGCGTACCTTCGCAGCCGCGTGACATCGACGAGTTTACTACCGTGTATGCTATCGCCGGCGAAGCTGGAACTGCCAGTGCTGCATCTGCTTGAAAATTTCTCTTCGCAACGTGATATATTGCGCGATCGCACGCAATGGAGAGATTAAAAAAGGGAATGTGACAACAGTATTGCCGTATGCATATTCTATCTATGCGTAACTTGATTCAAACAAATTGTGCGTGTTCGAATTAAAATAAATTTCGAAAATCAATAAAATCCGGCGGAGAAAACGTTTGCATATCGTTGTTTTTTTCGCACAACTAAGTATCTCACATATATGAAAATGAAAATCAACTGTTAATATATCATTAACCCTAGGTATACACACTGTTTTTTTTACGACGTCGCATATATACACTGGGGTCCCAGGGATCCCATCCATATTTACTGTAACTCTAGTAAAAATCGACATATTTCAATTAATTTTTTTTTTTCAATCAATAGAGAATCGACCAAGGAACAAACAAACAACAATAATGTTTAAAAGTCGACAGAATTAAGGAGCTCCAAGATATAAGGGTTCAAAGAAAAAGGAAAGTTCGAAAAAATCTCGATTTAGCATCTTTTTTCAAAAAATCATATCTATTTTGTTTATAGATTGATTTGAAAAATCCTTGAAAATTCTAAAAGGGTATACTTTAAACAGTAACAAAAAAATTTGACGATCTGATATTTTAATTTTTTCAACAAATTGCAAGCAGTCCCAGGGACCCCACGCTCACTTCAACTGTTCACTGCTCGCGGTTGTTGAGCGACACGCCTTCCTACTGAAGAGATCCTAAACTTTTTTTACGACAATATTCCAAACCCTTCCCCTTCGAATTTAAAAAATGCCAAACTGAGAAAGTTTTGCTGGGGTCCCGGGGACCCAAGTGTGTATATCTACAGGGCTAAATATGCTGTGCGATTTTTTTTATATCAATTAACGTTTAATGTTCTCAGCAGTTTCAATATTTGCATCGAGTCACAACGGACATCGAAGCATCGCGACGTCACCGCATTTGTTAGAATGCGGTAGTTCGAAGGCGCGGTGTATAGATGCCCGTTAAATTTCTCATTTTATGCGTCGAGGAACCTCGTCGTAAATCGCGGCTTATCGAGTTTAGTCTTCGACGTAGAAATGCATTTATTCAGGTCGGCGCGACTGCTCGCCGGCGAGATGGGCGAAACCATGTAGAAACTTTCCTTCTGCTCTCGGCGGCATGATGATATTTCCGGAACCGAGGAATTGGCTTGGTGTATTATCGTCCTGATGCCTGCCGGTGCGGCGTGGACCAGGACGATGAAAACTTCGAACATGTTGCGAGACAGCGTAATTTTTGAGGCGCCCGTTAACGCCACATCCGTCGGACGGAACGTTCGTCCGATTGTTTCGCTTTCCAACCGTGTTTCGCGGCGGAGTGTGTTTAGCAGTTTTGATAATAATAACCTGGCGGCGGACGCGAACGTTGTATTTGTTCGAACGAACGTGACTTTACGGCGGCGGCGCTTTAATTATGGAGATTATTACCTGCCCGGCCGGGCATTTCGCCCGAAATTTATGAGATTAACGTACATCCGCCAAATTAGCTGTGGCTCATCATCTGCCGGACAATTTGAAGTTCGCGAGATGACGAGTTGCGTCGTATCAATTAACAATCCATTGTTTCGGACAAACGAAAACAATTTCCAAATTGTTCATTAAATGAGATGAATTTAGAAAGATAAATATTTTTAATATATAAATTCTACGAGAGAAAAAGAGAAATTAAATTATCGGTTTGAAATGAAATTAAGTTACTGGAAGTTAGGAGATTTAGATGGCTACCTTTCCCTTTTTATGGCCCTATAAATTATTATCGCCTCGTTTCTTTCCTATATATAAACCTGCAAGCGCGTAAAATCATTTGATCTAACTTGAAATGGTTTCCGGTTGTGAGATAAAATTAAAATATGAAAATTGAGTTGTCAAATTTAGAACAGGAATATTACCACAATACAATTTACAAGATCTTACAATTAGATAAATGCAAAAACCACTTAAGATATATAGCAAAGAGATTGCGGTATAGATCACGATAGAGTGCTTCGAATGTAAAGTTCTTTTATCGCATGTATCTAAAAATTTCGATGTATTGAAATTTATTGAAATAATTGGATTTATCAAATTATCGCTCTTATTTAGAGATTTCATTTAGTTTAAATATCAAACGACATTTGCAGATCGGTAGAGCGAAAGTACTTTCGAGTGCGTACTGCATTAACAAACAGTAGGTACCGTTCCCTCGCCGAACCCTCTTATCCCGTTGTTTGCACAAGCGAGGGTGCGCGCACGCGAAATGGGAAGCTCCGGAAAAGTGATCGCGGAAAGATGCTCGGTCTCGCACGTGGATCTCATTGTTTTCCTTCGCGCTATATATTTCGTCCCCCCCCCTCCCCCCACCCCCGCGACAAAATTCAACGAGCGTGGAATCGTGCCACGTCAAAGTGTACGCCCGCTTCTGTCGACATTGAGCTCGACTATCACTCATTCAGTATCGTCGGGGAAACGGTCGGGTAACCGCGCTTTTAAAGTGAGATGAAAGTGCGGCATGTTTCGTTTGACACGAAGCACGATTTACGGGCGAGATCACCGAACTATATCTTATCGTAAAACGTATGTAAAACGTATAAAAATCTAAAAAAGTAATCTGGAAAATTATTTATATTTTGTCGGTATCTTATTCATATCAACGTGTTCGCGGACTTGGAATCGCGGCAGTGTACTTTAGCGAAAAGTATAATAGGAATGTTTCATTGGAGCTCGTAAAATATAACAAGATCGTAAAATACATAGGAGAAAGCGGCCTTATGCCTCACCTGCAGCTAAACGCAACATAAAGTCAGTTTATTTTTACATCTAATTTCCGAGGCACAAGAAAGCCGAGTCTTTAATATCCAAACTTTGAAAGAAATTTGTAACATCAAAAGAGAATCAAGTCTTTAACAAAAGAATTTAAAGAAAAAGGTATAGATACGTGAAAGAAGAGCGTGCGATGAGTTTGCACTTTTTCTCAATCTAAAGTAGCATAATACATTTAAGATCGTCCGAGGGAAAAATTCCCTTTAAATTACTTAAAGAAAGTATAGATTCGTTTTTATCTTACACTCGCGCGCAGCGCGAATTGATAGTTTGTTTAAGACGGATAAATGGCGAGGACTCGACATGATATTAATTATTTACTTTATGTTTCTCCGGGGGAATCGTATGTGTCTCCCCCTTTAAGCATAGAAGAAGAAGAAGCATAACGAGTAGCAATGCAGAGACATTTATATTACCTTTTGGCAGAAATCCAGCGTGTATTAGCCTCGCTTCCATGAGCAGAGAGGGTAGGAGGAAGCACATGGCCGTGCAGAGATGCACGAAGGCCGCCGTAGGGCCGCCGTGTCTCCATAAATTATTCACCAGACCTAAAAAAGAGTAGTTATCACCCTGCTCAGCGTCTTTCCCAAAAGTTATACATTGTAATTAGAATCGATCGATCATCTTTAAAACGTGAAACAGATGTCAGTTCTTATTCGATTTTCTTTGCGGCGTTATTTAAATAAATTTATTATCTTTTAATCTTATATCAATTAAAAACGACACGATAGTGTCACTGTATTTTATACGCTCGTAAAAGATAATTTTTTAAAATTTTCGAATATAAATAAAAACTCGCATAGAATTTATTGAATTTTGAACAAGTCTATTAGATCTAATTTAGTCATGTCTCTTTCAAACTTTCAATCTTGTAATATTAGATGTAATATTTCAGATTATAGATTTATTATCTACTTAAAAAAAAAACATTAGTTTCAATATTCAGGACTATACAAAATAAAAGTATTAATAAATATATATAAAATAATTAATATTTAATATAAAATAATAATTAAAAAACAAGAGAGATATCTTTATAATATAAGTAGGCGATAAAGATTCTAAATTTCATCAACATTTTCAATTCAGATGAAAATAAATAAAAATTATCGATTATTTATGTATTATTGAATAGATCAATTGATTACATTTTTATAATTACAAGCTGTAAAGTACATTAAGTAATTTTCTATATTCATAAGCTATCATTAATTATAGACCACTTACTGTTATCGGGATTATTAGTGAGAAGCGAGGATGGCGGGTCGCGCGAACAAGCGCTCAAATGTCGGCCTAGTTTTATGCCATCGTTCGCGAGATTGCCGAGCTTCAAGAACGCCGCGCCAAGTAGCACCGGAAGTAGAACGACTCCGGTGCCGGCTAGCACCAGGCAGGCGTACAATTCGATTTTGGGAGGTGGCGCGTCCGCTGGCCATGGTAATGATAAGTAAGCTAAAAGAAATGATATAAAAAACACACAAATTAAGCGCATTAAAGAAAGAGAATAATATGCTGTACAATATATTAAAGAAAAAGCATGTGAATTGGTATTAATGTATTGAAAAACGAATTAATCTCTCGATTTAAAATCTTAGCTTAAGTATATTAATTACGAAAAATGTATGTAATTATTATGTATCAATTGAATGGTTTTTGAGACAAAGTTTAAATTTCTGATTAGCTTCTGTTTCAGATCTAATTAAAATTAAATCTAAATAACGATAAGAGAAGTTTTTTTTCGAAGGGAAGAAGATAATCTCGCCTTAGGACGATTAAAAAGGACTGATTTCTTGATATCGCAAGTGATTAAACAAAAAGGGATAATGGAGGAAAGGAAAATCATTCGTTACTCCTAAACTTATGGCCGATTAAAGAATTATCAAGTAGCAACGTTAACATCCTGTTAATAGAATGTTAATTCGTTTACGATTCCTTGAATCGGCAATTTACTTAACTAATAATTTTATCTCTGATTTTCTGTTAATCCCATTGAAATGGGCGGAGGATTAAGATCCTACTCGGTTTGGAAAGAGATAGGGAGTACGAAAAATTTCTCCGGCAATTCCGTTCTCTACCGTGTGTCTTTTACGTAACGACCTCCAGTAACGGAAGCCTCCAGTACCAGCTGCCAAGAAAAGAAATTTACGCAAAACCGCCGCTGGAAACAGCCGGAAAATAAGGAAAGGCAACGAACCATTCGAGCCCCCGCCCAGAAGTTTTACTGATTAAAGTAACAAACGACAAAAGGGGAAGAGAAACCCTTCGAAGTCGCTAAAGTAATTTCACATAATCGTCACGTTTTCATCCTTTTCATTTCATAAAATATCGATTAAAGTTATATATATAAATCAAATAGGTAATTTAGATATGAAAACAGTTATCGCGATGCAATTTCGTACTGATATAAAAAAAAATCACATGCATTACGGAAGTTTCAACGAGGAAAATTTTATAGTATACGTTGACTAGAGAGATTATCTGTCGGATTCGATTCAGTTGTGCAGTAAATAGATAATTTATCCGCGCGGACGAGATCACTGGTCCAAAAGAAGGATAATCCAATGTTGTTAACGTAATCGATCCCGTAGAGAGGCGTATTTTAGCCGGGATAAAACGGGGGTATACGTATCTTACCGGCGAATCGTCTGGCGTATCTCATTGCTATGTACGCCTGAAAAGCGACAGCCAGAATGCCGTACCAGACGGACCAGAGGCTGTTCACATGACCGCGTATACACGATTCTTTCCTCGTGGATCTTCGTGCCCTCTTCGAGGGCTTGCCCGTGCTCGTAGTAACGCCGCCGGAGCTTATGCTCGACACAACCGGCAGCGGCTTCAACGGCTTTTTACACTTGGCCTGGTTCACATCGTTATTGTTTTCGTATCCCATTAAGCTCCCAGTCATCGACATTTTGTCCTGAAACATACAATTGAGAGCAGTGCACTTAATGTAATCCGAATACAAATAGTGTAATGCTTTTACGGACTTTCTTTTTCATTACATTAAATTTTCAAGCAGAAACTTGAAAATTATTGTTTTTCACAAGCTCTTAACGTGCTCGTGGTGTCAAATACTGGTAAACAAGCTTCAAACTAGAATTGCGTTAAAGAGACTTATACAATACGTATTAAACAGAAAATAATTTTTTTAATTATTGAGATTGTAAAAGTTTAAATTTAATTAAATACACAAAACAAAAATTTTGATGTATTTTATAAAATTGAGATTACAGTACTCTGAATATAAGCTCAAATAATGTTCTTCCTCGCAAAGTAGAAATATTCTTGCTATCTAATTCCGTTTAACTGCGACTAACTGTTTGATAACATGATTTTCATGCTTTATCGATTCAATCAGATTCTTTTGCAATCTCTATCGCTCGCAATCTCAATCTTCATTCAGTAATTATTCGAACGGTAACGCTTTCTCTCATGAAGGACTCATTTTCATTTTGCTCGGCTACGCGGGAGTTTCAATGCGCTCCGACGGTTTATCTCTTGTGCGCCATTGAGCCTCCTGGGAGGCTCTTTTCTCCCGTTGTATCTTTCCCTGCTGCCTACGCTGAAGAGAACGCGCAGTTCGCGCTTCCTCCTCTTTCCACGGTATTTCACAGTTGCGTTGTGCAGAAACGAGGAAACTCGCGGATGCGGTTATGCTAAAATATTAGGATAGCCACGAAGCTTTGTGTTTCTTATTTTTTAATGTTAAAAGAGATACCTGATGTATAAAACTGAATTTTCAAATAATTCTTTTCGTATTCCGTATGGTCTCCGTATAAATTTTGCAGTATTGCTTATATATAGAACGTTACAAAGGCTTGTACTTGTCAAAATTTTCAAGGCACCTATTCTCTTTATAAGTATAGTAACACCTCCCTTCGAGAAATGGGTCTTGACAAAAAAAATTTATAAATTTCATAAATGTGAATGAACGACTCTGTCGATTTCTTCTACCGTAAAAAAACTTAATTAAAAAGTTGTATTTTGCAATGACTCTTTAATTAAGAGCAATTAAGAAGTCGCGTTTCACCGTCTTACATTTTTACTATTAAATTATCGGTTTTAATTAACCGGATCGCGCTGCATTTGCGAAATGAGGCGCCATTTGTCTCGTCCCGAGCGTGAGGTCGGAGTAATTAAAATATAAATGCGCGCAGTTTTCCAGTTTTAGGTAGTGGAGAGCACATTGGGCACGCGCCTTACATACCTGTTCGGTTACGAGGCCGGCGGCCTGTCGGAGCTTTTCAGCCCCTCGCGCTTGACTTCTCCGAGTCTGGGGGTTGTAAAGTGCAAAGTTTTATGATCGTTTTCGTTGGATTCGTTCCGCGATAAAATTTCAAGGAGGGAACGACGAGAGACGGTGCGTGCGAAGAAGCACGTGCGTGACCGTATCAGGGACCTGAGGCGTGTACTCGCCTTCCTGTTTCACGATCTGAAAATTTATAGTCCCCCCGCGTACAACCAGCCACGAAATCCCCGTTCCACAATGGCAGACTTTTCCTTCTGCTTCCTCTACCCTACGCGAGCATATTCGATATCTGCGTAGTTCCTAACGATCGTAGTTATTAAATAAAAGATACTAGACTGTAGAAATATTATAATAGGCTGGCACACAAATGATATCATTTTACGAAATTATTTTAAAGCGCTTTGTGCTTATAGTAATCTGTCTAATTAATGTACAATAATAAAATCGTATGAAATACTTAGATATCACATCTTTGGAAAGATTCTGTGTAGGATAGACCGAGGCGAATCGGATCAGTATATGTTTTGAAATAGATATCGATAATTTTTCTGTTTCAAATGAGCTGTTTTATTATGTTAGTTTAACTAACATATGTTTAACTAACATAATAAAACAGTTCTTTTGAAACAGAAAAATTATCAATAACCGTATCAAAATTTAGCTAACATAATAAAACAGCTCATTTGAAACAGAAAAAGTATCGATAACTGTTTCAAAACTTATACTGCTAACTATCCGATTCACCTCGGTCTATGCTATAATTTATGTACAGGGTGATAGGTAATTTTAAAGCATAAACGTTGTTATCTGCATGGGAATCCGCAGCATAGGAATTTTCGTGCTTTTCACCTGCTTGTTGAGTCGCTCTTATGCGGAAAGTGGAAATATTAATTAGCATCCAGACGAATCCACATTACGCGCTAGCATCAAAGGAAATGTCGGTAGAGTTGAGTTTTATAGAGACCCCCGTGTGCACGAGTGCGTTTCAACAAAATAATCGATAAGATTTTCTTAGAGAAATAGACGTATCGTGCAATTACTTTAAATGGATCCCACTTTAGAAAGGCGGCTTTAATTAGCTTTTATTACACGTCATTCCATAATTTACAGGTTAAAAGAGACTGTCATAAATAAAGTAATATCTTGCAAAGTAAGTTCTTAGTATTTCTAACTAATAATAAACTAAAAGCAGTAAACAACTTTCTTTGATATAAAATTTTATTATCTCTTTCTTGCAGTATATCCTACATTAAAAAAAAAAAAAATTGATAAATATACAATTTTAGAAATAGAAGAGTACGAAGCGAATAATGCGACTATTATTGGAACAAATTATCAGAAGATTTTATTATTATTGCACATAAAGTATGTATTATCGAATTAATGGGGATAGTTAAAGGAAACTTTACGAACGCTTTCCACTTTAAATATTCAGTAAAATATTGACTCCTCAACTTTTGCGGTATTATCAAAGTGATAGAAGCCGCTTAAAATTAGCTTTTATGCTTGAAGGATTATACTTGAAAGTCGCTAGCAGATTTTGAAAATCTTTCGCTAAGTCTACTGAATCATCGTGGAAGCGTAAAATCCCCGCGCACTCGGCTGAAACTTTCATTCAAGCACGGAGCCTAGTCGGACGGGACGAGAAAAAATCTGCAATTATAGTATATTAAAGCCGTACTTGTAATTTAATTGCGTATCGTACGTGAATACTCCGGAAATAGGATACGCTTAGCGCCTCTTTCATGGATTTATTATATTTCTGATATGTCTGGCGTGAGCCGCTGCTGCGTCTCTTGATGTGCTGATAAACTGCTTAGAGTAACGTGTAATTAATTTCGTTAAAAGGATAAAAGAGTTGCGACAAATTAGAATCTTTTGAGGCATATATGTGGTTGAAAAAATAATATTAATTTTTATTTTCATAACCGTATAATAACGAAAAAAGCTGTAATATCTTTCTGTAATGGTTTAATTCTAGTACATGTAGAAAAAAATCTCGTTTTTTAAAGATCCATATATAAAAATTTTATTTTGTTTAATTTAATGATAAATCAATTTATTATAACATTTTATATAAAAATTAAAAAAAATATTTAATATATATACACATATATAATGTACATGCACATATAAACTTTTTTATTTATTTTGCTCGTCTTTTATATATTATACTCTTCGTATACACAAGTCTCACAGAATCCAATTACAGCGTGTCGATTTACTACTCAACTTTGCAGCGAGAACTTCACTTAAAAACTTTTTTATCAGAAGATTTAGCCGATCGGTCGATGGTGCAGGTAATTTAGATTCCCTTCAAGCACGAAATCGATATTTAAGTTACCAGAACTTACCAGATTTCTGTCGAGTCCTCTAAAGTCTCGAGTACGCTTCTCCACTGTAACCAACTCGAAGATGTAGCATCTTTGGCGGTGGCAGCGCCTGAAACATATAGTAACACGAGGACATTTAGCAAAACTTCAATTAATTAATTAAAATAAAATGACATCGAGATAGAAAAATGTCATGGAACGCAAATAATATTACGTCGCATCAAGACTTTTAAGGGTTAATAAGGGAACTTGGCCTTGAAACTGGTACGAGAATTCATCCAGATCATTGCCCACGATCTTCCGTCCACATGTTCGCACTGACATCTATATTTACACGCATATTAATTCTCATACCATATTTACATTGTAAGTACATAGACGAGCCAGCGGCTTCATTAATCAGATTGTCTTCGTGATGTTGTTTGCATGGGATTAGGTAATATTTGCCGGCCGGTCCTGTTTATCCTGAAGCAAGAATGCTGCTCAAGGAGAGGAAGAGAGAGCCAACGTGATTCGCGCGAATCCTTTGTTGATCAATAAAATTTGGTGCTTACATAAGCCGGATAATGAGCTTGTGCCCGCTCGGACAGACTGCGTTAATTACGCTCCATACGCCCCCCGCATTTATGGCCACGCGCACGGTTTACATAACTCGTGCTTCGCATTCGCTTTTATTATCTTCCTGCCCGTCCCCCTCCCCTCTACCCCTTCTCCCTCTTCCCAAATGAGTTGCTTTGTATGCACATATCACGACGCGCGTTACCGTAAATGCGTCTTAAACTTCGCCGCATGGAAAGCGTAGCGTGCAGGATTTTAACGTATTGAGCCGGCCGTCTCTCGTACAAAAGAGTAATTGACCGTATAAAACCTTTTTAATCCTTCTGTAGATTACCGTTACAAACACAGAGAGGGATAAATGCTTCCCCGCTCTTTTCTATTAAGGTACATAAGGATAACAAATGCGCGAGTTTCTTTCTTTCTACGCTTTCGAGTTTCTTTCTTCATACAACAAAATTAATCTCTATAACGATAAGAATTATAAGTAACTTCCAAGATTATTTTCAATTGCGTTAAAAGCGACGAATGCATACCGAGAACATTAAAGAGAACATTAAAGGACTTCGGTTTTATTATTACGGTTCAAAACTAGACGACTTTATCCTCTCAGTCTCTCTCTCTCTCTCTCTCTCTCTCTCTCTCTGTCTGTCTGTCTGTCTCTCTGTTCTTTTTCTTTCTTTTATTGATTTCTCGGTCGATTTCGCAAAAAGAGAAAGATAACATAGTGCCATTAGTCTGATTACGGTTTCGTATTACGCGGTCCGAACGCCACCTGAGCTTCTCTAGGATGGCGTTTGGCCATTGTGTACCCCGGCAGCTTGGGCCGGAGAAAGGTAAGCTCGTAAAGCTAGTATAAGAAGGCAAAACCACGGGTTCATTAATTTTACCCCTCAAGGCAAACCACGAGCCACACAAAGCATGCCCGCGCATTAACACAGTGCACAATACGAATAAATATACCGAGTGGCGAGCGGAGCGTTGAAGATATACATTATGCAACAACAATTCCGTTCGAGTGCAGTAGGAGTAATTTTTAACCACGTTTTGAACGAGAGAAACGTTTCATGCTGCGTTAATTAATTGAATCAATCAAGCCTGCGTCAAATTAATTCATAAAATGATACAATAGCATTCAATACAAGTTCATTACCGGTACAATAAAAGAAACTATATATTATGTGTAATTCATGAAAAGAGCTAATCCGTCTCATTAACCAATTATTTATTTTATAATTATTACAATTATCATTATTGCAATTTCCCTGTTGATATTATAATAAAATTGTATTGATAATTCCAAATTATTATCTATATCCTGCACAGAGAATACATAGAACAGATGTATATATAATAGTATATCCATACATTTTTCTCTTAATCCTTCGTATATCCTATTTGTATGTCAATCGATTCCTCCCATTTCCATTAGTATTAATAAAATATTAATTTTTCTGTCTCTTCTAATATATTCTTTAGAAAGAATAAATCAAATAAATAAATTGTAGTATTATTTGAGTCTTTGCTTAATTTTTTAGAATTCGGATTTTTAAAATAAAATAAAATAACACTATTAAATAATAATAAAAATAACAGTTTTAATTAAATTACTATTTTTTGGATGCGAATTCTCTGGATGAATTCACTATTCATGTAATTTATATTATGATAATAATATAATTAATTAAATAAATAAGTAACGTGAAAACACCAGTGCAATTATGTATGAATTATTAATTAACTTAAATATTACATATTAATATTAATTAAATTATAATATTTATATCGGAGTAGATCCCATATCGAGTATAATCAACAGCATATTTCAACAAATAAAAAAATAAGGCGTGAACAAAAATATTATCTAACAAGTATAACGATAATAACGGCAGCCGATTCGCGATATTTATTAATCATGCAGGAAATTACCGTGACTCTCCAGGTCTTAGCCTCCGTAAAATTCTTGCGTATCGCAGGTACGTACGCGGTACGGTAATTACATCACTCGCAATAAATCAGGGCCGCGCGCCGCTTGGCATTAATTATCCGTCACCGTGTAACTGAACGGTGCAGCACGCAGAGTGGCAAAAACTTCCTTCCACGGCGAGAAGAATGCCTACTCCAATAAAATGCCCGCACGGCGCTGATTTATCATCCGTGGCGCCCGTCACGACACGCGTTGCCGGATACTCATACGGATCCGGCAAGAGTCATCAAAATAAGAAAAAAAGAAGAACGTTTCACTGAGGAAATTATAACGCAATAGATCTCAGGAAACTATGCTTGTTCGTCTGTTTCACGTGCAAATCACGTGTAATTCTGGAAGACGTCGAAGGCGTCTTAAATGAAAAAAAAAACATAATTATCTTATTAAAGAATAATTTTTTATAAAAAATTAATTTTTTTGTAAAAATTTTTAATTTTATTCTAGGGAATTTGTTTAAAAAACACTTTTGATTTCTTTTCCACTATTCCTCTTTCCATTCAGTGCTTAAATATAAATATAAATATAAATATAATTTTTACGCAATTAGACAAATTTGACTACCAAAATGACAACTATGAACGTTAAATTACGTTTGTCATAATATTCATAATATTCGTTTATTAACGATATTACTCAGTGAGTTTAATAATTCGCGCAACAAATAAAGAGGTAGTCCTTTATAATGCCAACCTACACACTTGTCATCCAATAAATATCGTTTTCAATTAACAGCTGCTTATATAATACAACTATTCAGAAATATTCGTATGTTCTCTCAAATGTTATGAAATTGTGATTTAATTTCTCACGTACACGAACAATATTAACGATAATAATTTTAAACGCTTGCGGCAATCGCTGCGAAAATCGGTGATAGTTACGACGAAAATTTACGAGAATTTCATCCTCTGATTATAATACCGAGCTAATTCGGCAGATAAAGTCTACTTACCGTATGTAAGTTCGAAATCCTGTACAGAACTCAGAAGTTTAACTCGCATACGCTTAGTGCGATCTGCTGTAAATGGAGTTTGAATGCCGATAAAATAATCTCGTGGGGATGATTCATCGTGCACGTAGCGGCAATGCATGATACGTTCCCGATTAGCGCAAAGACTGCACGAAGAAGATTATTCATCATGCGCCTTCTGATGCGCAACGTATGAAAAAGCGAAAATCGTCATTATTTATATAATTAATAATCATCAATATATTCATAAATAACTGCAATTTTCGCATGTAACAATAACATGGATATTAATAAATAAATAATTTGGGATCGAGCTTGACAAAAAAAAACGCCACTCATATTCAGGATGAAAATATTGTACGGTAAGAAAATATTGTACTCGGGAAACCCTATTATTTCGCTGGAAAGACTGAAGATACGAAAACGTGAGGTTGAGATGGATTTCGGACTTCGCCATTTTGCCGAGTTTGCGGCTTTCTTCCGGGAGCTACCGTCTTCCTGTGTGTGCTCCCCCTATTCCCTGTTCGTCTCTTCTTCCGAAGAGTCACTCTTATTTCGGTTCTTTCAGACTATCGTTTGTCAGATCTGATCTGGTCAGAGAAAAGTATCTTATTATCTGGGATATAACGCGCGTTTATATGACTGAAAGAAAAGAAAAACTGAAGGGATGGACCGACGGATTCGGAGTTAATTTATATACACATACGAGAGAATATTTCGAGAAGCGATACTCTCACGCAAGTAATTTACTTTTTTCTTATTATTATCGTTTAATTTATCATAACAAGATAATGATACATAAGAGGATCATTTTTATGGTTATTATTGCGTAACGTTAGCGCGATATAATGCTTACGTTTCAGCTGATGCATTTCCCGAGGGAAACGATAACCCGAAAGTCCATTATCTCGTCGGAAAGCGTGAAAATTCGAAAGCGGAAATCGAGATGAGTTTCGGACTTTCGCCGAGCTTGCGGTTCCGCGGTTCTCGCTATCTCGTTCTCCTCTTCCCTCCAACCGCCCCCCCCCTCCTCCCTCCTCGTCTCTTTTTCGTGATGCCACCTCTCGCGTGACGCCTGTCTTCCCCATGCGGGCGCGCCGAATTCTCAACATCGCCACAATTTAAGGAAAGAAGCAGCCGGGAAAGAGAGACTGATTTCGAGGAGATTTCCCCGAAGTTGGGAGAGAAGCTTAAAGCTCCGCAGGCGGGAAATGCTGATTTGGAATTCTCTCTCTCGGCGGGGGACAGGAACGCGGCGCGGGGCGATGCGGTTAGAAGTTTTCGAGATTGTTTGCCGTGCTAGCCGGAATATAAATCGGGCTTAACTCGTCGGTTCCCTTTTCGTATGGTTAGGCAAATGTGGCTTTTACGAGCGCCGGCAAGAAAACGAACGTTTTTAATTCACTCGGCTTTTCATCTCTCCGCGCCACCGCCGCCGCCGCCGCCGCCGCTTACTTGAATTCAACGGAGGGAAGAGACCGTCTACCGCCCCGGTTACTGACGTCGTTCATGGAGCACTATTTTACGTCACTTACATACATTAGTTTACATTATCTTGTATCAACACATTGACGTCTTGAGATCTTAACTGGAGAAC